AAGTTCCGCCCATTGTTTTCCTCGTTTGGGCACACGCTTTTTATTACTTGGGGACCCAATACGCCGCTTTTCATGGAAATGGCCGGTAGTGTCACATTGAAGGTTCCATGATAACCGCCGTATGAACACATCTGCGGATGTTTCTAAATTCAAAAATTTACTATTTCATGTTTAAATGTTGAATTCTGCTTAAGCCGGATGCTAGGGGGCGGGTGGACGGTAACTTGCACTTTCCAGTACCGTCCATGAAACAGGCTCAATCAAACCGAGCCTGCAACATTTTCAATTTTGCCGTGTTGGGCTCTCTTTAGGGATTCTGTATTTATCTATTTAATAAAACCTAACAAAATCTTCACTATCCATGTGGGATTCCTTTGAGAGTTTACCCTGGATAGACTTTTCTTATTAATTAAAAGTATCTTCACTACTCATCTGGGATCCCTTTGAGAGTACACCCCGAGTAGACTTTTCAACTTAAAATGAATATGTTTACAAATGATTACACGTGCACAACAAAAAGTGTTTGTATTCTTTTAATAACAAAATCCTTTCGTCTTAAACGAAAATGACGAAGCAACTTTATTCGCTCCTTCTCGGTCAGGTGTGGAAGATAATTGCCTTCCAGAATCGATAACAACGTCCTCATCTTTGTTTGATGACACTGACCCTACGACCTCAGGAAGGTCTAAATCAGCATTTGCCCACTTACAACATTTAGCCAACCTATTTTCTATTACTTTACATGCATTACATTTACAAAAAACACCTTTTAGTATGGGTGCTGTCAAGTTTTTCTCCAACCGAGGTTTGATCCTGCGAACGGCACCAAAAAATATTTAAGTTAATGTAACGTTATTCTTAAAATAATTAACAAACGAAAACGATCGTCATAGTGATTTATTCAATTACTGTCCTTAACATAAGTTAGGTAATTCAAGAACAGAACTACAAGAGACTCCACACTTCTAAAACAATACAATGCTTTTTATTAATGACTTTGCCCAAACGTGCTTATGACAGCTAAATGACATGCCAAAGTAGGGCCAATCACTTTTAGTGTAGCCGCCTCCGTGGTCGAGGGGTTTAGAGTCGATGACTTCTAATCCAGTTACCTCTCTGGCGTGGGTTCGATCCCCGGGAGATGCTTTGGTAGTTTTAGCGCGGAGGAAGGTAGTCTAGTACTGGTGTAACTCTCCAGGAACGATGGTTAGGAAACTACCCGCCTATATGACTGAAATACTGTTTGGAAAAAGGCGTAAAAAATCAAACAAACAAAACAAAACAAGCCATGATGTTGATGATGATGAACACCTAAAAAAATAAAAAGGGAAAAATGGTTTCATTCTTGTTTAGATCTTAATTTGTGAGGATGGGCGATGAAGAACTGCTGGAGAGAATGCAAATAAATCAACTGATTCCAGGGATTCCCAGAGATTCTTGTGAGTGCATTAGTGGAACAATGGGAATTCTCCACTTGTTGTCTGGGTACAGCAGCTTGCATCTCTACTACAACTTCATCTGGTATTTTATGTCCTCTTCCTCTCCGTCTCTTCTTTAATTGTTTTAAACAACATTATAATGATAGCACCAATGAAAAATAATGATGACGATGAGGCTAATTGATCATGATGACATAAACTATGAATTAAAAAAAACTTAAAAGAATTTACAGCTTCCTCATAAAAATTTTCATTGCTTTGTGTAGGTTCAAGATATGTTTCAGTAAAGAGGCAGTCCTATGAATTGAATTTTGAACTGATTCCATTTCAAATTGCACTATCTTACTATTGTTTATCACTATTCTCATGAATTATTATAGGCTTAAAGGATTTATGATATTTTCTATAAATGTATACTAAATATGATTATGAAAATCAGAAGTAATATACTTAAAGTACCTATTAAACTCCAAAAAACATCTTAAACATGTTCGAGCCTTCATTTTTAACATCAGTAAATATTTTTACAAGGAACAGAAGTTGTAAACACATTATTAAAACACTGATACTTGAAAAGTGGTATTGGTTTTATAAATAATATACAAAGGAGTGATATTACCTTTGGATAGGGAAGCAGGTGGGTTTGGATTTAGAGTTGTAGATTCTAGGTTGTAGTTCTTGGGTTGTAGGTGGGTTTTTGGTTTGGGACTCATAGATTCTGGGGATGATGGGTAATGATCTTTTGTTTCTTGATCGGTTGTGTAATCATCAGCTGAAATGATAAAAAATAGAGGGATTGGCAATAAATTCAATCTTGTTTATAAAATGATTATTTAACTAATGCGTTATTATTAGCTGAAAGGAAATAATATTTTAGAGAAACATTTATTTCCGTAGAAGTATTCAACTAAAGTTTCTTATCAGTTTACTATCCTTTAAAATTTAAAATAGTAAGAATCACTAAGTATAACTTTCAGTGGTGAATATATTTTAAGATTTCAATACAACATGATCACTATAAAAGTACACACCTGCTGATGTTGTTGTGATGTCTGCCATACCATGTACCATATGCTGTAAGAAACATACATAAAATAACAATCTAGAATTAAAAATTTAATAGAGAGATAAATCACAACAGTCTCATACAGATCTATGCAATTTATTATAACTTAAGTCACTTCAAACAACCTCGTTGTTGGACTAACCTTTTGATGACATAGTGTGTTGATATAACACATTCATAGTCCTGGGTTCAATCCCAGGCAGAGACATATATAGAGTTTTCTCCACTAAATGACTGGTGTATAACATAACACCGAGTTATCATCACTTTTTTGTAATTTCAGTGTGCTATTTAAATGAAAACTGGACAAGCAGCTCACATGAATTGTAATTTACAATGCAAACAAGTTAATTTTATTCCAGTAATTTTTCATAACTTGAAAAATTTTGATGCACATTTATTATGTCAAAGTGTAGGATCCTTCAAAGATTATAAAATAAAATGTATACCACAAACCATGGAAAAATATATTAGTTTTAGTGTAGGAAGTCTTAGATTTATTGACTCCTTTGCATTTTTACCATCTTCTCTAGAGACACTTGTTGATAATTTAACTCAAGATGGATTAAAAGGTTTTAAACACTTTCAAACTGAAATCAAAGATCATACAGAACTGTTATTAAGAAAGGGGGTTTATCCCTATGAATACATGAACCAATGGGGGAAATTTGAAGAGCAACAGCTTCCTCCCATGCACGAATTTTACTCGTCACTTACAAATGAAAATATTTCAATGCAAGAGTATGAATATGCTGTACGAGTTTTCGAAGCATGTGGTTGTAAGTCGTTAGGAGAATATCATGATCTATACTTGAAAACAGATGTATTATTGCTAGCTGATGTGTTTGAAAATTTCAGAGATATGTCATTAAAATGTTATGACCTTGATCCATGTCACTTTTACACCAGTCCTGGTCTTAGCTGGCAGGCAATGTTAAAAATGACTGACGTTAGCTTAGAACTCATGACGGATATAGACCAAATTCTGTTTATTGAGAAGGGTATTCGAGGAGGGATCAGTCAGATTTCCAATAGATACAAAAAAGCAAATAATCCTTATTTAAGTGAGTATGATCCCACAAAAGAAAAGAATTTTTTGGCATATTACGATATAAATAATTTATATGGTCTGTCGTTATCTGATAGATTACCAATAGGTTTCTTTAGATTTTTATCTGAGGAAGAAATTAAATCTTTTGATGTTAGGAAAATACCAGAGGATGGATCTAAAGGATATATTTTGGAAGTAGACTTAGAATATCCAGAGAACTTACATGATAGTCATAATGACTATCCTTTGGCTCCAGAAAGAAAATTTATACCTAATGAAAAATTATCACCTTACGCACAACGTGTATTGAAAAAGCTTCATGGAAAACAAGCAGATGATCCAATACCCCCTAGAGCGAAAGTTGAAAAACTACTCACCACTCTTGAAGATAAAGAAAAGTATGTACTCCACTATAAGAATCTACAGCTGTATCTACGTCTAGGGATGAAGCTGAAAAAAATTCACAGAATATTAGAATTTCAACAAGAAGCGTTCATGAAACCGTATGTTGAGTTCAACACAAACATGAGAAAACAGGCTAAAACGACCTTTGAGAAGAATTTCTACAAATTGATGAATAATTCTGTGTTTGGTAAGTACATTCTGTTTAATACTGTATATTTCTATATAAGTAAACATTCTAGATAATAATTAAACATTCTAGATAATTAATAAACATTCTAGATAATAATTAAATATTCTAGATAATAAATACATTGTATTTCTATAATTACAAAATGAGCTTACTCAGATTCGACCGTTACTAAATTCACATTTATTTTTACTTTCAGGAAAGACGATGGAGAATCTTAGAAAGCATCGTTCAGTTGAATTGGTACATACAGAAAAACGCTTAAGGAAGGTATCAGCCAAATCTACCTACAAGCTACATCGAATTTTCTCTGAAGATCTTGTTGGAGTAGAATTAAACAGATTGAAAGTAAAACTGAACAAACCTATATACATTGGGATGACTGTTTTGGACTTATCCAAAAGGAGCATGTATCATTTCTTTTATGACCATTTAAAAGAATTGTATTCCGACAATGTTTCCTTACTTTTCACTGACACTGACTCTTTATTCATTTCATGTAAATGTGAGGATCTATTCCAAGATATGTATGATTATGCTCATCTTTTTGATACTTCTGACTTTCCGAAAGATCACTTTTTACAAAGTGATATCAATAAAAAAGTTATGGGGAAAATGAAAAGTGAAACCAATGAAAAATGTATTTCAGAATACTGCGGTCTCAGATCGAAAATGTATGCTTTTAGTTGTGATGGTAAAGAAGACAAACGTGCCAAAGGTATAGCAAAAGTGGTTGTCAAAAAAGACTTAAAATTACAGCATTATAAAGATGTATTATTCAATGATTCTCAATTAGTTTCTCGAATGAATACATTTCGCAGCCATAATCATAAAATTTATCTCGAAAATATTAAGAAGATTGGACTATCTTGTTTTGATGATAAGAGGTACTTATTAGAGGATGGTATTACATCGTTAGCGTATGGACATTACAAAATAGAAAATACTAATTAGATATTTATTCTATCAGCTATGACAGTTCAGAGAATATAAATATTTCACAGCACACCCATCAACCAAACAACTTTTTATGTTTTTTGTTTGTTTTCTCTTCTTTTCCGTCTTATTGTGCAAGTGTAACCTAAAAAAATGAAATATTAATGTGTATAACAATTATTCTTATTGTCATTATATTAATGTGTAGAACTACTATTATTACCATCACATTAATGTGTTTACCATTTTAAATGTTTAATAAAGAGTTTCAACAATTCTGTCTCAGTATCTTTTTTATCTTTAGAAATGTCTTACCGGAATGGCGTAAAAGATACTGTCCTCCCCCTCGAATTGGTCATCCTGGTTATTATATATGGCGACCTAAGAATGTTAATTAAGATGAATATGTAAATGTGTACATACTATTATATATCTCAAATATTTTACATTATTTGCAATTCATTTAAATTATTGCTAACAAAAGATGAAATGTATTAATTAGCATATAAATTAAGCAACAGGTGAAATGTATGTTAAAGTATTAATTAGCATATAAGTATTAGTTTAATCAACTTACACTCCAGCCTCTTCAGCAGACTGATATTATCTTAAATTTAAGATGACTTATTAATATGCAAAGATGTTATTTACAAATATGATATATTTTTATACTATAAATTATAAAATGAAGTGGTATGGAGTAAATATATACTTTGATGTTTACGTTAGGATAGGTTGAAAGATGAATCTTGCACATAAACTTACGGCTTGAGCAGAAACAATCTGCTGTGGTTGTTGCATCTGCTGTGGTTGTTGCATCTGCTGTGGATGTTGCATCTGCTGTGGTTGTTGCATCTGCTGTGGTTGTTGCATCTGCTGCTACTGTTGTTGTTGAGGTTGTTGCATCTGCTGTGGTTGTTGCATCTGCTGCTGCTGTGGTTGTTGCATCTGCTGCTGCTGCTGTTGTTGTTGAGGTTCTTGCATCTGCTGCTGCTGAGGTTGTTGCATCTGCTGCTGTCGCTGTTGTTGAGGTTCTTGCATCTGCTGCTGTCGCTGTTGTTGAGGTTCTTGCATCTGCTGCTGTCGCTGTTGTTGAGGTTTTTGCATCTGCTGCTGTCGCTGTTGTTGAGGTTCTTGCATCTGCTGCTGTCGCTGTTGTTGAGGTTGTTGCATCTGCTGCTGATGCTGTTGTTGAGGTTCTTGCATCTGCTGCTGATGCTGTTGTTGAGGTTCTTGCATCTGCTGCTGTCGCTGTTGTTGAGGTTCTTGCATCTGCTGCTGTCGCTGTTGTTGAGGTTCTTGCATCTGCTGCTGTCGCTGTTGTTGAGGTTGTTGCATCTGCTGCTGATGCTGTTGTTGAGGTTCTTGCATCTGCTGCTGATGCTGTTGTTGAGGTTCTTGCATCTGCTGCTGATGCTGTTGTTGAGGTTGTTGCATCTGCTGCTGATGCTGTTGTTGAGGTTCTTGCATCTGCTGCTGATGCTGTTGTTGAGGTTGTTGCTGCTGTACCTGCAGATGTGGGTTTTTTTAGAAAATATGAACATGAATAAACTGAATAAATATTGAATATTTCAGAACATATGTTTCACATCCTTAAGATAAAATGTTAGCACTTGGATTCTTAACACATACAAGTTCAAAATATGTGTCTTCAAACCACTTAATGCTATTTTTTATGACCAATAGTTTAAACATCAACGATTCCCTAAAACGGATGCAAATACTGGTTAAATTTCCAGGAAGAAGTCACCCTGAGCGTGATTAATATAAGTTGTAAGAACTTGTTACACAATCAATGTAAAATAAATAGGTTTTAACCAAATGATAACAATAACTTAGAAATATTCTTAACAAACCTGTGGTGATGTACTGTTGAATATATCCGCATAATGTTCCACTCTTAGGAGTAATTTCCGAAGTTCTTCAATCTCATCTTTATTAAATGTTATAGATTTTGATTTTGAAAAATCGAATTTTCCCCCAGGGCTATTGAAGCAGCCTTTTTTGTCTGATATATGCACATATGTCCTCCCGTTAAACGGGGTGATACATATCTCCTTATTTTTCCCAAATTGGGAAGATGCTTTAACTATTCTGTTATCATAACTTCTCTTTTCGGTGAAACTAGCCATTTTTAAACAAGGAATAGTAACCAATAAACTCAATGAATAGTAAGCAGTAAACTCAATGAATAATTTGAGGAAATTGTTTAAAAACAAAATGTTTTATAGTCATCAGCTGATGTTCTTTCGTGGTCAATTTTTTAAACTGAAAATATACTACCCTTGTGATTGGTTCATTAAAAAGCATCTATATTAGGGGCATTTTCATTGGTTAGTGTTTTATATCTTTACATCAATTTACTTAATTTACTTTTCCATTGGTTCTGTAATAAACATCTCTGAAAACAAATTTACATTGGATAATCAACCAAACGAGTTAAAGTATTTGCATTATTAAACTATTGTCGTTTTTTTTTTTTTTTTTATATCTATTTTACGGAATGGTAAACGTAAATGAACTAATCCTACAAGTGCCGCAAATGATGAAGTAGTTAATATTGCTGCAAGAAAATGAAGCTCAGCTGAAACAACACCTTTTTTTCTCTATCACATGTAACATTTAGTACCTTACAACCTTTCATATCTTTTCGCTACATTAAATTATTTGAGTTAATTAAGCGATAACAAGTTTGACCTTGAACTTTATATATTATAACACGCAGTAGAAGAAAAAACGGTAAAAGGAAGAAAACGCAAAGAAAACTGCCATGTATTTGATATTTTTGTATCTGCTACCTACTTTGGGCGTAAAATCAGTGCAGACATCTATCGACATGACAGCTGATAAAACAGTGTGTGTCTTTTTATTAAGAAGTGGTTGAACTAATAGAAAACGAGAGAAAATATATATTACAACTAATAAGTATTTTATTCCATCATTATATTTTGAAATATTTTCAACTGACATAAGATCCATATCAGCTTGATCGTTTAAACCTGCTACTTGTACATTTGGGGTATTATATCTATGTCTTATTTGTTTTTGTACTGCATACGCATCTTGATTATTCAACCATTTCTTGATGAAATTCAAACTAAATACTCCAGGGTATTTTTCAGATAATAGTTTTAACAACTTTGTAGCACCTAAATAACTTCCAGGATTTTTTACATCAAAATAGTACTCCAAGAGAATGTGTTCCTTCTGTGTCTTATCCATTTTTATATGCCCGAAAGGGCATATTATGTTATACCCCCTGGCGTCCGTTTGTCTGTCCGTCCGTACGTCCGTCCGTCCGTTAGCAATTTGGTTTCCGGAGCATAACTTAAGTTCCATTTGGCCCACAATGTTCAAACTTCATAGGATGATTGCCCATATTGGGTAGAAGACCCCTATTGATTTTGGGGTCAAAAGGTCAAAGGTCAAGGTCACTATGACCTTAAAACTGAAAACAGTTTCCGGAGCATAACTTAAGTTCCATACGACCCACAATGTTCAAACTTCATAGGATGATTGTCCATATTGGGTAGAAGACCCCTTTTGATTTTGGGGTCACAAGGTCAAAGGTCAAGGTCACTATTTCCTTGATACTGTAAAACACAATATTCAAACTTCATAGGATGATTGTCCATATTGGGCAAAAGACCCCTATTGATTTTGGGGTCACTAGGTCAAAGGTCAAGGTCACAATTACCTTAAAACCAAAAACAGTTTCCAGAGCATAACGGAAGTTCCATTTGGCCCACCATATTCAAACTTCATAGGATGATTGTCCATATTGGGTAGAAGACCCCTATTGATTTTGGGGTCACAAGGTCAAAGTCACTTTTACCTTAATACTGAAAACAGTTTCTAGAGCATAATTAAAGTTCCAATTGGCCCACAATATTCAAACTTCTTAGGATAATTGTCCATATAAGGTAGAAGACCCCTATTGATTCTGGGGTCACAAGGTCAAAGGTAAAGTTCATTAATAATAACTTAAGTATTAATCAACCTACAGCTGTAAAACTTTATAGGATGAACAGCGAATTCCCATGTCTTACAAATGCTTCATCCTTACTAAAAAAACAACACTTTCGGGCATATAATGCTCCGCCTAGCGGTGCTCTTGTTGATACTTGTAAATGAAGAAATATGCTTAAATGTGAAATGGATTAGACAAGACTGAACACATTCTTTATTTCAACTATTAAAAAATAACAAGACACTTTTTATTACAACCTTTTACTAAGATAAAAACAAGTGCTTATATGTTATTTTACATGATAATTATTTGTTTGCGAGTACCTGTTTGTGCAAGTAAATCACTTCGTGTGAAAGGTTAAGTCCTTGTACTAAGACTTCCCATGCTTGCAACACTTTGGTTTCATCTACTTCCAGTAACATTTCTTCAAAGTAAAAGTCATAGGCTTGCTCGTCATCATACATAAGGTCGCTCATGATACAGTCATGTTGTGTCAGTGAAGGGTGATCTATAAAACATCCATAGCAATGTTTCTTCACTATCATACTTTTTACGTTAATCAATGCTTTTGCATATACAAAGTCAAAATATGAGTTCATCAACATCACGCTAGTTGCAGGAGGTGTACAATGGTTAATAGTAACATGACTTTGCTTCATTTCATCCAGCTCCTCCTCATCAAATTGTGTAAGAGTCACTCCGTTCATTGTCACTATCCACATATTCATTGTTTTCAATTTCTAATCTCAGATTTGCCATGTTTATACCAGTAGTGCAAGGGCAAAAATGTTTTTGAAGTTTTACAGTGGTTAACTTATATATACGTACGTCTATACAGCTTGGTTTTCGAAATAACGGTTATTTCAAAATTTGTATTTTCACTTTGCTCTACCGCCAAAAAGTGAGGTGCTCTCCCACTGAGCTGCTCCATTTTAGATCCTCATCTAGAAGAGAAATATTTTCAGACCGATTTGATTGTCCAACCATTTTCAGAAATAAAAAACTTTTTGAATGAATACCGTGTTCTTTCATTGGATCGTCTGTCTTTTTCCATTGATTGAGTCTAATAGCACAGGAAAAACATTGTACAATATCTCCTCTCCCCGTATAATAAAATCCAGCAGATGCCAGTTCATATTTATTAGGTTGAATTTGTTGAGACCAGGATTCGAACGTTTGTAGTCTATTCTCATACAGTTTAAGCTCTGGTGATTTAAACTCTATACCTAAACCCGTACATTCCATTATGACTGTCCTTGTAAAAATGAACCTAACAACTGAATGCTTTCCTTTAAATCACACAAAGATTCAAACTGTTTCATATCTATAGATAATGTGGATTTTCCTTTTTGTAAAATAATCACCGTTTTACTTCGTTTTTTCTTAATAGTTTATAAATGTTTATCATCTAAGCTACAACGAACCTCTTTTGTTATTGGACACCAATTAACAGTCTGAAAGCCATAAGTTTTCAAATAATATAAAGATTCCTCACTAAACATCAATTGTGCTTGAGCCATGCTTTTAGAAACAAATAAACAATCGTCTTTAAATATTACGAAGCATTCCTTCTTCTAATGATTCGTCTGCCATTAAATTTGGGGTAAAATTACACAACTCGTGCCACCAATGTCCGTTTTGTAAATACCTATTTGCCGCAAAAGTAAAGCGTGATGGATAAGCTTGTAATAAACCAATCATATAATAATGCGACCAACGAAGGCTATGAAAAACATCTTGTACTTCTGCATCTACCCAAGGATATCTTTCATCTTCATTTAACCAAAATGAATTACTGTTTACAGCATAACGTCTCAAATCCATTCTGATGTTAAAAAGACAATCATCAAGTAATCTTTAACGTAAAGCATTCAACAACCGTAGTTTATACCCCTCGCTTAATTTCAAACTGGTTGCTTACATTTAAAAAAGATCACTAGTTATTTCCCGCCATATTTGACCGCCAACTGTTTGGAATACATTCACGTCCAGCCACAATCAAAAGTCGTGATGAAAATTAGGTTCTATACACAAGATAATGCATAGTTTTCAATGAACAATCACAACAGTACTTGAAAGATTTAAGTGTTTTACTAAAAAACTTGTTTCGACAGTCATGTTAGAAGTGGAACGATTTATTGTCTAGGTATAAAGTCTTCTACATCATAAGCTTGATTTTTCATTAAATTTGAAGTAAAATAACATAACTCGTGCCACCAATGCTCACCCTCTTCATATCTATAAGCTACTTCATTAAATTCTGAGGGATAATGTCTAAGAAGATCAATCATATAAGACCGTGTCCATCCAACATGATAATTAACACTGAACACTTCGTCATCAGCCCATGAGTGTCTCTCGTAATCATTCACCCAAAAGGATTCAAAAATGCTACCGTCTATATCATAACTTCTCAAATCCATTCTTAAAAGTTAAAATATATCCAACACCACTGATGGCTAATTAATACCCCTAGACCGTTGTCAATACAATAGCTCTCCACCAAAAGCTGAAAGGTGATATTGATCGTTTGCATTTCAAAAACTGATTTCAAACTGATTGTTATCATTTAAGAAAAACCCCGCTCTACTAGTTTAAATCGATATAGTTTAAAAAATGGCGCTAAACCCTGTCATCTACCACGTCGTCTGCTACACCGCCATCTTGGAACCTTGAGTCATCGTCTCACGTTACTAACGTCGGCCATATTGCGCCGCCGGCGCAAGATGGCCGCGAAATTATCAATTTTACACTACTAATATTTACAGATTTATCTTTCTTTGAACTTAGGATTTTCTTTAAGAAATATTATAACTTCTTTACTTTTTAAGGTATATACTTCAAACTTCAAATATATGTTTCTTATCATTACACACATGTTGTGTGAAATGTTCATAACCCAAGCATGACTTTTTTTAGAATTATTCCTCTTGATCTTGGAATTTATGTTAACAAATGGTATTTTTTTACTATAACTTAATACATAATTATACATAATTGGTTTTTCTTTCATAGTTTTGTCCTCCTTACTGCGTCCAGTATTTTATTAGTCGAGCTTGGCTGTCTCCTGTGACAGTTCTTGTTAGAAATTGATGTTTCTATTTTTAGAAATTGCGTAATGTTTCTATTTTTAGAAATTGCGTAATGTTTCTATTTTTAGAAATTGCGTAATGTTGCTATTTTTAGAAATGCGTAATGTTGCTATATTTAGAAATTGCGTAATGTTTCTATTTTTAGAAATTGCGTGTTTCTATTTATAGAATTGCGTGTTTCTATTCATATATATATACAAAATAGATAAACAAAACTTATGTGACAGACCAACTTAATTTATAAAAAGGAAACGTTAAGATATGTTCAAACCTTTCTATGTTTGCGTTTAGAAAAAGTAAAAAGTCGAGCATTGCCCCCGCCCGGCGGTGGCTCTTGTTTAATCTACTGTCGCCATCTGTAATGTATAAAGAATAAACAGTATTATACCTTCGTTAATTGTGAAGACCTATTTTTTATAATACGTGTTAGCAAATCCCACCAAGCGCATTTTGGAAAGAAAGACCTGAGTTCGTATAACCACAGAGTTGGGTATACATTGTAAAAATACTTCACACTCTTCATTATTTAAATGTCCATATATGAACATAATTATGTGGTAATCTTGAGGTAACAAAAATATATTTGCATTGATACATGCTGGTACATATTTCTTTGTTTATGTTAATATAGCTTTAAAATAAAAGATAAACTCAAGTTATAATTAGAATATATGATACGTATGTTCAAGTATTAATTAGCATATAAATTTTGAATCATATCAGTAATGGCTTAATCAACTTACTTAAGGGGATGATACTCCAGTGACCTTAGCAGCAGCATCAATTTGTTGTTGCTGAGGTGGTGGTGTTTGTTCCGGTTGCTGTTGCTGCTGTCGAAGTGGTTGTTGCTGTAGTGGTTGTCGCGATGTTGTTAGTGATGATGATGTCTAAAACATGCAATCTCAATTTATAACATAACATTATACATATAAAAAATATACTATAACATTGTACATGCATCTTACTAAAAATGTTAGCACTTATACTTAGATACATACATCTTAAGCATATACCTTTCAATGAGTAAATGATATTTTGTCTATGATCAATAATTTCTAACATCATAAATATAAAGTATAAAACAAACCTGTGTGAATGTCTTATTTGAAATGTTGCATTTTTTATATTTTAAAAAATGAAAATGTCTTACTGGGGTGGCTAAGAAGTACTCGTCATTCCCATCAAACTTGTCTTGAGGATAAAGTGTAATCTGGAGGTAACAAAAATATATTCGCATTGATACATGCTGGTACAGATTTCTTCTTTTTTTATGTTAATATATCTTTAAAATGAAAGATAAACTCAAGTTATAATTAGCATATATGATACGAATGTTAAAGTATTAATAATCATATAAATTTTTAATCATGTCAGTAATGACTTAATCAACTTATTTAAGGGGGTGATACTACAGTGACCTCAGCAGCAGCAACAATTTGTTGTTGCTGAGGTGGTGGTGTTTGTTCCGGTAGTGGTTGTCGCGATGTTGTTAGTGATGATGATGTCTAAAACATGCAATCTCAATTTATAACATCAAACATATAAAAAATATACTATAACATTATACATGCATCTTACTAAAAATGTTAGCACTTATACTTAGATACATACATCTTAAGTATATACCTTTAAATGAGTAAATGCTATTTTGTCTATGACCAATTATTTCTAACAACAAGCGAGGTGATATCTAAATGCTATAAAATAATAAAATAAAATAAAAAAAATGACAAACCTGCGTGTTGGTTAATTTATCATGATAATAATCCACTCTACCTAGCAACTTTTTCAGTTCATCAATTTCCTCCTTGCTGAAGGAAATAGATTTGGTTTTTGTAAAGTCAAATTTACCGCTAGGGTTGTTAAAACAACCCTTGACGTCGGATATGTGGATACATGTATTCCCATGAAAAGGGGTCATACATATTTCTTTATTCTTTCCAAATTTTGAAGAAGCTTTCACTAGAACGCTATTGTAATTTCGTTTTTCAGTGAAACTAAACATACATGACATGTGGCATTATAAGGTAAACCCACTAGTGGGTATATGTCAGTCTGTTTGTTGGATTTCTTTCCCTTGACGGATAGCGTCTTTCTCTTCCTTCTCTTGCTTGCAATGGAATTTGTTCATCGTGATTATAAAATCCATACTGTATCCAATTAAAAAAATATGATAAATGTCTGTCATAAAAATGTATAAACTAATCACTGTTGTAAACATGATAAGTTACATATATCTCACGCGTGTTAATTAATACTGTCCTGTTTATTGAGAGTTTAAATATCAATATAATTATATCGTTATTCGTGTAAATTAAAATATAATTCTTGTTTTAAAAATATATTATTCTTGATTAATACATCGTTTCTGTTTCGTTTGAAAAAAGACAGTTAAATAAAAATATTTATATTTGCGCTCCCTGGCTATGCCACATGAAACACAAGAGCAAGTGGATTGAAAATGTCTGGCATTTAACCAATGCCAGACCTTTTATAAACACTAGGGGCGCGTTTGTTTTGCATAAACCGGTTTCAGTAGTAGGTTTAGGTTTTATGACAAATTATTTTGAAACCAAAACTAGTTTAGATGGTTTGCAGTTGCTACTACAAATGCATGGTTTTACAAATGGTTTGCAATCATGGCAGAACTTGTGGCAGCATTGCAGGGAATTTTTGAGGATGAAGATAAATCAGACGCTAGTCATGTTTATTTATCTTCCAGAAATCACGCGATATATGCTCAGATCAGTGGTGTGCTTGCATTTAGTACACTTCGTCATGAAAAAAGTAGAATTCGTGGTTATGTGGAGACTGTCTACCGTCAATACACCATTGATGATTTCAAAGACCGTTTTCGAATGAACAGAGACACATTTGAAAAACTCTTACATATGATGTCACCTTTTTTGAAGAACTCAAGGGGTGTACACCAGATTACGGCTGAGAAAAAACTACTGTTGTTCATCAAATATCTTTCTACGCAAACTACGTTTCAGCAACTAGCAGACATCTTTGGTGTGTGTGAAACAAGTGTCCATTCTGTTATCCACGATGTGTCTGAGATGATTTGCGTCAAACTTTTGCCCGAGTTGATAAAATGGCCAACAGGTAAAAAAGCCAAGGAGACAATAGATGGCTTTCAGCAACTAGCTGGCTTTCCTGGGATAATGGGCACTATTGATGGTAGTCACATTCCCATCCGTACACCGTCAGAATTTCCAGAAAACTACATCAATCGTAAACAGTACCCTTCTATTGTTTTACAAGCCGTGTGCGATAGTAAGCTACTATTCATCGATGTCTTTTGTGGTTGGCCAGGATCAGTCCATGACTCAAGAATCCTTAAAAATTCCCCACTTATGGATAAAATTGAGGCTGATGTTTCGCAAGTTTTCCCAGGTAACACGCATCTCCTCGGAGATTCAGCATATGCCCTAGCATCTTGGATGATGGTTCCTTACAAAGACTGTGGCAATTTAAACAAAGATCAAAAGACATACAACTACATTCACAGTTCCACAAGGATGTGTATTGAACGTGCTTTTGGTGCGTTGAAGGGGCGGTTTCGAAGGTTAAAGTTTATTGACTTGAAGGACATTTCTTGTATTGTACATATTGTACTTAGCTGTTGCACCCTCCATCAGCTTTGTGTCCAGTGCAGAGAAGACCTGCTGGATTACATCACTGAAGGAATGGCTGAAGCTGACGAGGCTAACTATTTTGAGAACTTCATGCCACTTTGTAGCAGTGCAGAGATGAAAAGAAAAACGATTGTTTGCACTCTCAAATGACAGCTGTGACTTGTAGTACAAACCAAAGCGATCAACAGCAGTATACAGATTTTGAGCTTTATTCAGCAGCTACACTTGTTTCAGGCTATCTGACTATGTATGTGTTTCAGGATATGTGACTATGTATGTGTTTCAGGCTATGTGACTATGTGTATCATTCAATATTGTTCACTTCTTACAGCAAACAATAGTGTGTTACCAATAAAATTGTTTTATTTCTATATTGTCTCGTGAAGTTTAATCCAGAGTCGGAGACCAATACAGTTTCCTAGGTACCTAACCGAACTGTTTTCCTTACCATTCACATGTGATTACTGACTTACCAGTACGGATAATAACAGATACATAAATGTAGGATGAAACTTCATAATACAAAAGATCTTACCCAGCAGGCACATCAACGTTGTTTCAACGTTGAATTATGGTCAGATTTCAACGTTGAAATAAGGTTTGATTTATATTCGGATTTGAAAGTTGAAACAACGTTGAAATTTCAACGTTGATACAACGTTGCAGCTTCAACGTTGGCACAACGTTGAAGTTTCAATGTCATTTCAACGTTGAAAACCCACCATACATTAATTTTTGGATATAAAGCAAAGTAACCAAGTTTAACAAAATGTCAAGACAATATTAAATACTTCAGATATTTTATTTCAAAAATACAGTTCAAGTGCAGCTTAAATTCACTTTAATAGTTTAACAATTAAGCTACAATCTGTTCCAATCTTTTCTTCTAGATCTTTCTGGGTATGTCAAGTGTTTGAGTACTTCTTTGGCTGTCTCTTACTGCTTCTGCAAATAAAAATAAGAAGTTTGTAGTTAAAAGTGACTTGGTCAATCTCAAATTATACATATACTTACTCAACTTAGTGATTTGTTTTTATCTTAAAATGCTTTTCTCTAAGATTTATATCATAAAACAGCATAGTAATTGAAACGTAGCTAAGTTTGATATTGACAGCAACTACTGTATATAAGACAACAAAATCTTTTTAAAAAGAAGCTATTTAAAAGTCTCACCTATGATTGGTAAGAAAAACTGCTCCCCGTCAGTTCCTTGCAGCATATTCCCAAGAAATTAATATTATAGGCTCTAGCTAAGACCATTTTATGCAGCATCCTGAAATCAGCAAACGTCATGTAAATTTTATATTAATAATGTTACAGGAATATTCCTAAAAAATATATTTTAAGACAAGATAAATATCCAGTTGTTGAAAAATTTATACTTTGTATTGTAAAGAAATTCAAATATATAAATTAATAAGAATAAATTTCAATTTAACAAACCTGACAGTCCTTTTCATGTTGAATGTATGGTGTACAGGCTACAGGTGCAATACTGTAAATTTCAGCCAGGACCAGGATCTAGAATATAAAATAATATAATAATAAAATAGAAATAGATTTATTATACCCCTTAAATTTACGACTATTAAACTTTAAAGTTTAACACTCAAATTTGTTATTTAACTTAATAATAATCATTATAATGTGTTTTTATCAAACTAATTAACACTGTATTATACTATCAATAAAATATAAACATAGTTATATATATTGACGAATCGTCTTGGGACGTAAATTAAGTGGGCCTAACTACTTAATATGTTTCAATTTTAAAATTGATTAAATTCTAAATAGGATATAGTACAGACAAATGTTTAATAATATGAAAAATAAATTAAAGAAAGACAAGATTTGTAAAATCATAAATTGCCAAGGACATCAATAACTTCATTCTTACAAGGCCTACCGAACCCAAATCATTCAATAAGGTCGCGAAAACGTGTCAAATCAACTCAATCATGAATTTATATCTCTCATTTATTTCATAAAGTAAATTAAAGTAGAATTTAAAGAATAAATAATAATATTTTAGAAAATAGTCAGTAAACTAAAGTAAAACATAGCGGTAATACCTTCCAAATCCAAATAAATTGCCAATCGTGTTGTTTTCAAATTTTCCAAACAGCGCCACCATTTGCACGAACGATAATCATAGACAAAAACAAACAAAATCATAGACCGCAACAATTACTTCCCCTGACCAGCGTTATTTTATAAACGGGGTTTTGACTAATACCAATTTATTAATTAATATTATTCATAAAGAACTAAAAAATAAAACAACAAACAACAAAACATATTAACTAATATTTAAAGCGTTAATAGAAAGTGAAAAATTATTTCCAACTTTATTTGTTTAAGCGCTATTTTTGAATATACGGAAAAAGATTGTAACGCAAATTTTCCTGACAAAAATCACTTACAGACTAATTCAATAAAGGAATAATATCACAAAATTAGTGGTATAAAAGTTTATATAATGATTAAACTAAATGTAAAACTTCGACCATAAACAACGTTGAATCAACGTTGTATATACATTGGCAATATATCCGTATGGTCGTCCATAGTTGAATATTGGTTGAACAACGTCACGACCATATTTCAACGTTGTTTCAACGTTGAAACAACGTCGAGTGCCTGCTGGGTTATTTCTCATTTTATTAAACAGTTAACCAAAAACAATTATAACAGGTACAAATGAATGACAAACAAGAAATGTCACAGAACGTGACGTATGCCCCCACGAAATTGACCATTGGCCTTGAAGTGTGACCTTGACCTTGGAGGTACGGACCTGGGTCATGTGTGCTCTGCACGCCATCTTCTACAAATCAATTTAAAAAACCACCAGTAATCCACCACACATAAATGACAACGTTATGGACAGGACAAAAGAAAAAATATGCATATTTGAACTTTGAACTCCAAGTGTGACCTTGACCTTGAAGGTACGGACCTGGGTCTTGCGCTCTGCACATCGCCCATTTATAATGAATACTTCTGCCAAGTTATATTGAAATCCAAACAGAAATGACAAAGTTATGGACCGGACAAGAATGTTGTTGCCCGGACAGACACACACACACAGACACACACACACACGGACGGTCCAATTTTAAGATGCCACCCCTTCGGGGGGCATAAAAACATGAACAATGATTTCCTTGGGTGAAATTTCAGAAACATACCGAGTTTTAATCAGTCTTTAGTTCTACAATGAATTTCAAGTTTTTTAAAACAGCCATTATCCGATCCAAAAGCAGAACACAACATATCAATGATTTGTTTTGTTTTGGGTTTTACGTCACATCGACACAGTATAGGTCATATCGCGACGTTCCAGCTTTACTGGTGGAGGAAGACCTCAGGTGCCCTTCCGTGCATTATTTCAGGCACGAACGGGCACCTGAGTAGAACCACCGACGTTCCGTAAGCTAGCTGGATAGCTTCCTCACATGAAAGAATCCAAAGTCCCTGTCGGGATTCGAACCCACAGCGGTGAGGGGCAAGTGGTTTGAAGTCAACGACCTTAACCACTCGGCCACGGACGCCCCTATCAACATATCAATGAAAAACTTCAAAAAATATAAAATGGTTTAACATAATGTGTTCTGTTGATCATCAATTAGCTTAAATCAAGATCAACACATAGACATGTGCAAGGTTAAAATTAAACTGACGATGCTTCTTATACATGGCCACCATTAAAATTTACCAAAACCAGCTGTGCACACAAAATGTACCAAGAGTGAGTTTTAAACATTTGTTATTTAATAATTACAAAGAAATAAAATTCACTGGTGTGAAAATAATTAAAATGCAAATACAATATCTATATTACAGATATGCGACTTCAATTTGCATACAAAATGTACCAAGAGTGAGTTTAAACATTTGTTATTTAACAATTACAAAGAAATAATATTCAATGGTGTGAAAATAATTAAAATGCAAAATACAATATCTATATTACAGATATGTGACTTCAATTTCTAAGTGTGTACTGCCTTGTACATGGATGAAAATCTAAAGTAAAAGTTCAAACTTCCAACAAAACATTGCAAGAAAATGCCATAAACAAGAGGGCCATGATTCCTCTGTATCACTGAACAGAGGAGCATGAAGAAACAGAAAATATTCACTAGAAAAGTGACCCAAAGATTGCTCCTACAAATCTTCCATGTCTCTCTCCACTTCTGTCAAAAAACAAACCTTGTAAAGTGTTCACTCTTACTTGGATTTTGAAATAGCATTAACCAATTTATCAAAAAGTTCTAGTTTGCTTTTCTCATTTGCCATACGGTCTTCGTGCTGTTTGGTTAAAACTTCCATTAACTGTTTTTGTTCCTGCTTCATGTCATCACGCATCTCTTGTAGCATTTCAACAACTGCATCCTTGCGGTTATGCTTCACCTTTGGCTTCTTTGATGTTTGTTTTTCTACATCTTTCTCATCTTCTGTCTCTACAGAAGAGCTTTGAGTCTGAGGTGACTTGATGGAGCTGCTTACATACAATGGAGTAACATTGGGTCTGTACCCGTAAAAGTCCTGCAGTTCATGGAAGTAAGGGCATTCTTTTCGCTCATTGCCTGATTTCATGTTATGGTCAACTGTGTCCCTATACACTTTAGTAATATTTTTCCATTTCTGCTCGCACTGAGTAGCTGAATATGTACCATTTAACTTGGTTTCTTTGTTGATATCTGATGCAATAATGGACCAGATAGTTTTTTTCTTCAGTGAAGGTTTTCTGAAGTCAGCCTCGTGGTCTTGATGCAGGGCAATCAGCTTCAGGACTGCGGGTTTTGTCCAAACTTGTTTCTCAGACTTCATGTTTTCCGTAACAACATCTGGCTCAGCAGCATCTGTAGTCCCATCATGGCCATTCTGGCTTGTTGGTGCTATAAATAAAATCAGTCCTTCACCATGAAATAATAATGTGAGCATTTATGTGTGACTGAATACATTTGAAGTCAAGTTGTTTAACATTTTCGGTCAGACCACAATAATATGCGATTAACACTTGCAATATTTTTGTCACTATGACAACCACAATAACTTCAAAGCAGTCAAATGAAGGAATGGATGCTTATGCCGCACAGTAGTACAGCTTTTACCATCTGATCTTGATGGTATGGTTGTGTTTTTGGTTACTTAAAATAGTCAATTAAATCCGGAATGCAACGTGGTATACTGGATATTATATCCATCTTCATTTTTAAATAAACTATATAACTCCTTGAAGAAACTCCTTGCTATTGGTTAGCAAGTCATTTTTGACTGAGAATGATTATGCTGTTTGCTGGCAATACAGCGGCAGACACAAATACAGACAAGCTGAAGCTAATAGTTGAATTTGAAAGTTGATAGTATGATGCAAAAAAGCTCCGATAATCTACACAGATATATCAAGATAGTAATAATGCAAAAAAGCTAATGTGCTTAGACGAATGGCCACTTCTCCATTAACTGTCTGAAGAGATGTCGTTTGTAGCAAATGTTTATGATGACGGCAATTAAACCGATGATGTATATCAGACCATGACATAAGCTCTCCTAAGCTTTACTAGTATGTGACCAGCAGTGCTAATAAAAAATATGGCTGGAGATGTTACTTACCTACACCATCTGAAGAGGAAGATGTTAACCCAGTTGATCTAATCTCTGGCATTTCGCATGGTGTGCCTGTTCCCGACTCTGTATCTCTGTCATCTGTAATGGATTATGGAAAGATTTGTTTATGTCACTTTCAGTCATTGTATTACATGGTACAAAATGTAATATACATGCATATAGAGCTGGTAGTAGGACACATTTCTGTAAGGACCGTTAAGAAATGAAAATACTCAACACATGGAAGATTTCCACGTAAATTTATGAAACTTAATTATACAAGATTGCAGGGTATGTCATACATTCTACATAGAAAAAACAGTACCGCTGTTAGCTACAACCTTTTCTTAAATATGATACCCATTTCCATGTCTCAATCATGCCAAAATTTATTTATTGAAAATATCAACTTATTAAGACACTTCTGTACTGCTAGATCGTTTCAATGTTCAATACAAACTTTAATGGTCATTCGATCAATGTTTGGAAGGTCAATGTTAAACTCCAAGAAGTTAGATACCTGTATGATTTGTTGTAGTATGATTTGTTGTAGTGCATATGACTTTGTCAAACTCGTCCCAATCAATCAAGGTGCACAGCACCCAAGGATGTATCTCCTCGACTGCATCCTTACCAAGACCATTAAGGTTGTTCAGCACTCTCTGGAACACTGCGTTTGTATATTGCCGGACAATGACTGGAATGTCTGCTGGGTACATGCTGCTTTCCAGCTGTTCTCTATACTTTTCATCACATGCCAAATAACTCTTCAGAGTTTTTCTTGAGAGGTGTTGATGGAAACGTTCCGGGATGACACTGTGTAGAGGCCCAATAGCCATAACCCTGAAACATTTAAAAAAGGATCTGCCCTGTATGACATACATTTGTAGCCTACATGAGCGCTGATGAGTACACGACTGTCTGGGGTACGAAGGTTTACAGTCAAAATGCCCCCATTTTGGAAAATGAAATCATGTTTAAATACCTCTTTATAGTCAAATTTTTAAAATTAATGATTTAAAACGGATGGAAGTTGTTTTGATTGGAATGGGAGCGATTTAGGTCGCAAATTTGGACATTCTCACTTTTTGTGGGTGCCAAAATGGGGACGTTTTGACTTGGGGGCATTTTGACTTGCAACCGGGTACGAATTATCTTGAACGAATTTCAACATAGAATTGGTACAAATGTTCTTTGCCGATCGCAGAGAGTGCCTTTACAAAATGTTATTTTGTAACTGAGCCCACATACACAAACATACCATTTAAATAACATTGGCCTTTCGCCATAATTGACAAATTCTTATGTTTCTTTACCTGTTTCCATTTTCATCCACGAGGTCCGCCATTTTTTTTCCACAAGTGCACGTAATATCGGGTACATCAAACCGTACAAACCGCCTATGGGGGCAGTTTGGTCGGTTTTGCAAACCAGTAAGCGATTTTGGAAAACAAATGGTTCAAACCTTTTCTAGTTCAAAACCAGTTTTACGAAACAAATGGAAGGTTTGAAAACCCGGTTTCAAAAACCGAACTCAGTTTGTTGTCAACAAACGCGCCCTAGAAAGTAGGTAATATACATGAAAATCAGTGGCATAAAGTAGGACAAAGCAAAGGGATTTGAAAATGTCTTGCATTTAATCAATGCCAGACGTTTTATTATCAAAAAGTTAACTGACTAGAAAGAAGGTAATATACATAAAAATCAGTGGCATAAAGAAGTACAAAGCAAAGTTCACAATAATAATGAAACAAAATATAATAATCAGCAACAGCAATCAAGTATGATAATAATAATCAAGCAACGTCCAGCAGGACAATAGTGTTAATATAACAGTAAATAAGTGTGATAATATAACAGCAATCCAAGTATGATAATAAATCAGCAGGCAAGGTGGGTGGAGGGGAGGACAGAGGTAAAAGCGAGAAACTTGTCTGAAAAGCTTATGGCTCCTGTTCCGAAACAAAGAGCGCATTTGTTGCCGATAAACCAGTTCATGTTATAGGTTTGCAGTTTAGTGTTATTAGGATCAACCTGAAACCTGTTTAGTTTTAATCACCAAACTGTGGGTTTATCAAGTAAAAATGGTGGACAATGTATCCAGATATCTAATTTTAGAAGAATTAATGTGTTCTGAATACGATGACAATATTCTTTTGCTACAAAAAATAACCAGGAACACAGTTTGTAGCATGGCTGTTGCCACCACAACATTTAGAGAAAGAAAAAAAACGAATCCAGAACTATGTGGAGGGAGTATTGCCATATTATAGTGTTGATGATTTTAAGGACAGATTCCGAATCAGTAGGGAAACATTCGACTCGTTAGTAGAACAAATGATTCCATACATAGGTAAAGGGGAAATATGCGTTGAAAAGAAACTGCTAATATATGTCAAGTATATATCAACGCAACAGACGTATCAAGCTTTGGCAGATATATTTGGGGTATGCGAGTATTCTGTTCACAAATGCATTCATGAAATTTCAGAGAAAATTTGTAAACACTTGCTACCAGATTTAGTGAAATGGCCAGAGAAACGGACAGCTGATAGAACTGTAGATGGATTCCAGGAAATCAATGGTTTTCCAGGTGTCATTGGAGCGATTGATGGAAGTCATATCCCTATCCGCACCCCAACAGAATTCCCAGAAAACTATATTAACAGAAAAGGTTACCCTTCCTTGATACTTTAAGCAGTTTGCGACTGTAACCTTAAGTTTTTAGATGTATATCGCGGGTGGCCTGGGTCAGTGCACGATGCACGAGTCCTTAGAAATTCCCCGTTATTCAAGAGTGCTTCAGCAGCTGAAAGTGAAGAAATCTACATGTTTCCCATCAACACACATCTACTTGGAGATTCAGCCTATCCACTATCCAACAGGTTAATGGTACCTTTTAAGGACTTTGAAAACCTCAATGAAATCCAGAAAAGGTACAATTACAAACATAGTTCAACAAGAATCTGCATAGAAAGAGCTTTTGGAGCTCTGAAAGGACGCTTTCGCAGACTGAAATTTGTGGATCTGACAGACATCAAAGCTATTGTACATGTTGTACTAAGTTGTTGTTGTCTTCATCAACTTTGTCTGTACAACAGTGCTGAGGACATCCTAGAATTCATACAGGATAGCGCCGAGGACAACGAAGAGGTCAACAATTTTATGGACATTTGTAAAACATGTGCGTCAGCTGACGTGAAACGAAAAGCCATTGCCGACCTTTTGTAACTTTGAACAGTACATGCATTATGGTGTATACCAAGTGGCAGTATTATTTACAGATAAGATAATACATAACTGATTTAGTCAAAATTAAAAAGAAAACATTCATAAGCTGTGTTTCTCTTTTATTTAACTGAATGTTATAAACATAACAACACATGTAACAGAAAAGAAATTTTCTTAATTAATCTTGTACACTGTACACTTTTTCCTACAAGTCCTAAAAGTAAAATAAAGAATCTCCAATGAAAATATGATCAGTTGTGAAAAAAATCTAGAACAATATTAATTTCCACCTTCTCACATCTGAGATATAACTCACATGTCATAACTAAACATGTCTAAAAAAAGTATATGTCGAGTCAATTTACCCTAAAACTTTAAAAAAGACAAGGGCATTAAAAACTGTTAGCACAAACAAGGGTTCATCGTACGATTGTAGTTTCCACAATAATAAATGATCAAATAAAGCTCAAATAAAAACAAGTATACTTGAATTTCGAAACTGGTTTTCTTACAACAGGAAGTTTGTTTCCATCATTTAGCTGATATTTGCTAAAATGCAAATTCAGTCTATCTTAAAATATTAAAAGATATATAAGTTCTGTCTGCAAAGGTATTGGTATCAGCTACTGTGTACAACAACGATGAGTGCCAAGCATATCTTTACCATTTAAACTTGCGCTCTGCCCTGTGTCTGCATGACCTTGAACTGTTACAAGAATGGACCAATAAACACACGCCATTTCATTATGTTAAACATTTCTGCTAAATATCTTCAGGCAGTTAAGGTATTAGCACCCTAATGCATTACCTCCGCTTTGAAGATTATTCAAATAGGCTAGAACTACTGTTAACTACATTGAAAATGAGGGCCATGGGTTCAATCCACAGAAGGGTCAACTTTTTTTTTCTTTCTTTTTTTCTTTTAACATTATTTATGTATCTCTCATGTCCCATTTGGAAAGAAAAAAGTGTTTAATTTTGATTTTTAATTTATATAGGTATTTATTGGCTAAATTATGCTAAATATAGTAATAAATATGGTACCTGATATTTTCAAAGTGTAATATAATCAAAACTAGACGGTAAAAGTATTTCATATTTTACAAGATCAACCAATATACTTTTTTAAAAATTTAAAGAAACTTTGAAAACAGGCACTCATTTGGGTAAATTTTAAGATTTTTTAAAATTAGGCTCCCTAAGTAGAAAAATGGTCAGACACGTGGTAAAAATGGGTGGGGTAGGGTAACATTTTTATACAGATTTCATAAATTTTAAGTAGAAACCATAATTTTGCTTATTTTGATTGTTAGCTGAATGGTACTATTTGTTCTTACCAAAAAAATTAATGGGAAAACATTTTTCCATTAGAATGTTATTGCAGATTATTTAAAGGTTCCTACTTTCTAAAAAAGGGCCCTCATAACATCCTAGCTTGAGTTCAGAAAAGTGGCCATAACTTGATTTCCGTACGGTAAACTTTGTTTAAATTTTGCATACAGGTGTACTTTAAGGTATACATCTTACTTATGATGTCAATTTTTAGTTACTGATAGTGCCATTAGGGTCCTAATACCTTAAGAGAGATAAGGTGTGGAGACTTAACATATAACCATTGTAAAGTGGAAGTTTTGAAGCTTCAAGTACTATATTGAAAATTGTGTTCAGTATAGCTTAAAACTTGTACTTGCAGACATTATTCTCAATAGCAAATACACAAAATAAATTCAAAAAATCTTTTAAGCAGGGTTTAAAAGATTTGAAAGCTTAATTTACGACTCGGGCAGAAGTGGAGGCACACAAAGGGAAAAACACAATATATCGCCCTTAACAAGGCTTTTCAATGGGGCATTATTATAAATTTTCCATAGGTTTTGAAATTCCTAAAAAATCATTTTTAATTAATATTACTGCCAGTATGTTGATTTTCTTACAAAAAAAAACTAAAACGTCACAACAATTTTTACAGCATGTCAAGAAAACTTGCTTTATACATGTACCATACGTTTATAAAGAAGTTTTCCACCATACTATTAATAAAACCACGCAGAATTTCCTTCTTAAATCCTTTTTAAGGCCATTTTTGAAATGGAGCACAATTCATAACGGAATCATATTAAGTCTATGGCGCATTCTTTGCACGAAACACAAAATGACCAATTAAGTCAACAAAGTAGATATAAGAACACCTGGACCTTAAACTGGGCAAAAATTAGCAAACAAATTTGGCAGGTAATCTGCTGCCTAGTTGAAATGAAATGTTAGAACACTTTACAAACTAACCATCTTACTTTAACAAGAAAACTGAGTAAGGTTTTTATAAATTTCAAAACGCTAATGTCTGTTCCTCAGACAGAACTTCCAAATCAGAATGAATTAGCACATTAACAATCCAGCAAACTGATACTTAATCAAGTGATTGCGTACTACATGTTGATCATTTTCAAACAGGTGATACTGTTATATGTGTAAATTACTTTCAAATAAGTGATACTCTTCTTTATGTTGAGCATTTTTCAACAAGCTGTACTGTTCTAAGTGTTGAGCATTTTCAAGCAAGCCAATACCATTTTATGTGCTGAGCATATTAAAACGCAATCAGTTCTAGGTGCTGAGCTATTTAAAACAAGCAATACTGTTGTCCAGCTTTCTTAACTTCAATCTTTCAGTAATTTTGACAAAAGTTGAATTTTCTGTTTTTCAGTTGTCATTCTATCTTCATGTTGCTTATTATCTCAGTTATTAACTCCCTTTGCTCTTCTTTCATATCTTCTATTAACTGTATTACTGTATCGGTTTTGTTTTTTCTTGTTTTCTGCTTTTTTTTCTTGATTGGTGAACTACATGTAGAAGCTCCTGGTTCTTCACTACCTGTGCTAGATTCACTTCACAATGGAATGGAGTAACATTTGGTCTGTACCCATATATTTCTCCAATTTCTTTAAAGAAAGGGCATTCCTTTTTATCAGCACCAGCTTTTCGGTTATTATCAATTGTGTCTCTGTATGCTTTTGTCATGTTTTTCCATTTTTTGTTTCACACTGCTGCCATGTTACTGGTAACAGGTGTTCAGTAATTTTGTTTTTGCAATTTCTTGCCAAACTGTCTTTTTCTTAATAGCTGCTGGTTTCTGAAATTTTGCTTCATTTTTTTTATAAAGTGCTATTAACCTAAGAACAGCAGGTCTCGTCCACTGAAAACTTGGGCTTTGCAAATACTTCGTTCTGTGATACTGAAAATAAGTAAGACTTTTACAAATTTAAGTGATAGAGAAAGAAACTACATAGCCATTTCGGGGTTCACCTAAGCCTCAGGGACTTCTTTCTGTGGACCAAAATGTGGTTACAGAAAACTTATTGGTCCTTTAGACCTTTACCTTGCTTGGCCATCCTTAAAAATTACAGTTTTTTTGGTGCTCCAATTTGAAAAGGGTATAACAAGTTCACTTGTGCCCCAATTGTCTTACGTATGGTCCATTCATCCTGCTGCTTTACAAGCAAGGCATTGTGGAACTACTGGTAGTGACTAATAAGCTCTGACAAAGAGCTGTTCGTAAGACAGAGCGCTCGACTTTTCTAAGTGCTTGACACTAAATCAGAACTTTGCCAGTAAAAGGGGCTTAACTTAATAAAATAATTAATTCCCAGTTTTGGATTGTTTCGCCTGGTGTAGACTTTAAGTCAAAAGCTAAAAAAGGGCCATAAATCTGTCAAAAAATAACTTTAAAGTAGGGATTATCTGCCTTTTCTGGTATGGGTTCCCCTTTCGAGAGTGAACAAACTATTCCAATTTCCAAGTTTCAAGTGAATACCTTTGATAGTGTTTGAGAAAATGAATCGCCAGAAAAAATCACATGCAGACGCAGACCCACCCGCAGACGATCAAGTGACGACAATACCTTGACTTGTTTTTACGAAAAGTCGAGGTAAATAAAACACAAAATACAAATAATTTTTAGAGTTCTACCTCTTCTTAGAAACCAGTGATGGCAATTTTCTTTTAAAATCTGGTCATTTTATTAACCTTACAAAGCATATTTCTTTCTGCTGTTACCTATCTTTCAAGAAACTTGCACCTTGCTTTTAAGGCAAACTTAAGCTAGGGCTTCTAATTTGCCCACAATGACAAACAGATTCCCCTCTCAAAATCAGTTTTTTGGCCGGGTTGCACTGGTGCAAACCCGGGTTATAGTATGGGTGAATGTTGGGCGGCGGGGCGGTTGGCGGGCGGCGGGCGGGCGGGGCAAAAACTTCAGCAAACCACTTATCACAGCCTTTTAATATTTGGTATACAGCATCAACACATGGTCCCATGCTGTGGGATTCGATTTCAGGTCTGTCGCTAATCTACTTCCTGTTTGCTGACCTATTTAAATTTTCAACATTAATGGTTAATGGTAGGAAATTTTCGTAACAGTTTTCTCAGCAACTACTTATCACAGTCTTTTGATATTTTGTATACAGCATCAACACATGGTCCCATACTGTGGGATTCGATTTCAGGTCTGTCGCTGATCTACTTCCTGTTTGCTGATCTACTTAAATTTTCAACATTAATGGTCAATGGTACAAATTTTCGTAACAGTTTTCTCAGCAACTACTTATCACAGCCTTTTGATATTTTGTATACAGCATCAACACATGGTCCCATACTGTGGGATTTGATTTCAGGTCTGTCGCTCATCTGCTTCCTGTTTGCTGACTTTGTTAAATTTTCTACATTAATGGTCAATGGCAGGAAATTTTCGTAACAGTTTTCTCAGCAACTACTTATCACAGCCTTTTGATATTTGGTATACAGCATCAACACATGGTCCCATACTGTGGGATTCGATTTCAGGTCTGTCGCTCATCTACTTCCTGTTTGCCGACCTAGTTAAATTTTGGACATTAATGGTCAATGGTAGGAAATTTTCGTAACAGTTTTCTCAGCAACTACCTATCACAGCCTCTTGATATTTGGTTTACAGCATCAACACATGGTCCTATACCGTGGGATTAGATTTCAGGTCTGTTGCTCATCCACTTCCTGTTTGCCGACTTAGTTAAATTTTCTACATTAATGCTCAAAGGTAGGAAATTTTCGTAACAGTTTTCTCAGCAACTACTTATCACAGCCTCTTCATATTTGGCGTACAGCATAAACATATGGTCCTATACCGTGGGATTTGATTTCAGGTCTGTCGCTCATCCACTTCCTGTTTGCCGACTTAGTTAAATTTTCAACATTAATGGTCAATAGTAAGAAATTTTCGTAACAGTTTTCTCAGCATTTACTTATCACAGCCTTTTGATATTTGGTATACAGCATCAACACATGGTCTCATATCGTGGGATTTGATTTCAGGTCTGTCGCTCATCCACTTCCTGTTTGCCGACTTAGTTAAATTTTCTACATTTATTGTCAATGGTAGGAAATTTTCGTAACAGTTTTCTTGGCAACTACTTAACACAGCCTCTTGATATTTGGTATACAGCATTATCACATGGTCCCATACTGTGGGATTTGATTTCAGGTCTGTTGCTCATCCACTTCCTGTTTGCCGACTTAGTTAAATTTTGACATAATTAATGATCAATAGATAGGTAGGAAATTTTCGTAACAGTTTTCTCAGCAACTACTTACCACAGCTTCTTGATATGTGGTTCACAGCATTGACATGTGGTCCCATATTGTGGGATTCCATTTCAGGTCTGATGCTCATTACCAACTAAGTTAAATTTTCAACATGAATGGTCAAGACAGTGGTAGAAAATTTAAGTAACATCACAGCCTCATGATATTTTGTATACATATGCAACCCGGCCTTTTCTGTCTTTGACCCATTTTTTTGATTACCTTTTGCCTTGCAGCTTTCCGACAAAGTACCAGGTGGACTGTCATCTGTGGATGAGTTATGAGGTGGACTATCACCTGTGGATGAATTACGAGGTGGGGTGTCATCAGTGGATGAGTTACAAGGTGGATTGCCATCTGTGGAGTAGTAACCAGGTGGGCTGTCATTTGGTAAATTGGGCTTCTGGGTTTCTGTGTGAAATAAACAAATATTAACTCTATACAATCCCACTCAAGTATCTATACCTCATGTTTTCAATTAGGGATTTAGCCTCAAATCTATCTCAGAACTTTCGAAAGTATTTGTATATCGAGGGGAAATGAGGAAGAGATCTAAGTGCTTCTTTATTTATATGCACTTAGACCTCTTTCACATTCACCACTCGATATGTATCCTGGATATAACTATTTTTACTATCAAACAATAGAACTACAGACTGACTTGATCATGAAACTAAACCAAATGTGCTATATGTTTAGCATGTTTAGTTTAAAGATAGTTATTTTAAACTGATTGTAAACAAAAGCTCTTGCTTTTTAGCTCACCTGTCACAAAGTGACAGGGTGAGCTTTTGTGATCGCTTTTCGTCCGCCGTCCGTCCGTCCGTCGTCCGTCCGTCCGTCCGTAAACTTTTGCTTTAAATGACATCTCCTCATAAACCACTGAGCCAATTTCATCCAAACTTCACAGGAATGTTCCTTTGGTGGTCACCTTTAAAAATTATTCAAAGAATTTAATTCCATGCAGAACTCTGGTTGCCATGGCAACCAAAAGAAAAAACTTTTAATATCTTCTTTTAAAAAACCATAAGAGCTACAGCTTAGATATTTGGCATGAAACATCTTCTAGTGAGTGTCTACCAAGTTTGTTCAAATAAAAGCCCTGGGGTCAAAATTGGCCCCGCCCGGGGGGGTCATTGATTTTTCCTATATGCATATAGTAAAAACTTAAAAAATCTTCTTTTAAAGAACCCAAAGAGCTAGAGCTAAGATATTTAGCATGAAACATGTTCTAATGGGTGTCTACCAAGTTTGTTCAAATAAAAGCCCTGTGGTCAAAATTGGCCCCGCCCCTGGGGGTCATAGATTTTCCCTATATGCATATAGTAAAAACTTAAAAAATCTTCTTTTAAAGAACCGTAAGAGCTAGAGCTTAGATACTTGGCATGAAACATCTTCTAGTGAATGTCTACCAAGTTTGTTCAAATAAAAGCCCTGGGATCAAAATTGGCCCCGCCCCAGGGGGTCATTGATTTTCCCTATATGCATATAGTAAAAACTTAAAAATCTTCTTTTAAAGAACCCAAAGAGCTAGAGCTAAGATATTAAGCATGAAACATCTTCTAGTGAGTGTCTACCAAGTTTGTTCAAATTAAAGCCCTGGGGTCAAAATTGGCCCCGCCCCGGGGGTCATTGATTTTCCCTATATGCATATAGTAAAAACTTAAAAAATCTTCTTTTAAAGAACCCAAAGAGCTAGAGCTTAGATATTTGGCATGAAACATCTTCTAGTGAATGTCTATCAAGTTTGTTCAAATAAAAGCCCTGGGGTCAAAATTGACCCCGCCCCAGGGGGTCATAAATTTTCCCTATATGCATATAGTAAAAACTTAAAAATCTTCTTTTAAAGAACCCAAAGAGCTAGAGCTAAGATATTTAGCATGAAACATTTTCTAATGAGTGTCTACTAAGTTTGTTCAAATAAAAGCCCTGGGGTCAAAATTGGCCCCGCCCCAGGGGGTCATTGATTTTCCCTATATGCATATAGTAAAAACTTGAAAATCTTCTTTTAAAGAACTCAAAGAGCTAGAGCTAAGATATTTAGCATGAAACATGTTCTAATGGGTGTCTACCAAGTATGTTCAAATAAAAGCCCTGGGGTCAAAACTGGTCCGGGGGGGGGGTCATTGATTTTCCTTACATGTGTATAGCAAAAACTTAAAAATCTTCTTTGGAAAAACCCAAATAGCTAGAGTTTAGATATTAAGCATGAAACATCTTTAAATAAATATCTACAAAGTTTGTTAAAATAAACGCCCGGGGGTCAAAACTGGCCCTGTCCCAGGGGTGTCATTGTTTTTAACTATATGTGTATAGTAAAAACTTTAAAAATCTTCTTTTAAAAAAGCCAATGAGCTAGAACTTAGATGTTTAGCATGAAACATCTTCTTATGGGTGTCTACCAAGTCTGTTCAAATAAACAAATAAAAGCCCTTGGGTAAAAATTGACCCGGGGGTGGGGGGGGCCTATATACAGGTGAGCGACCTCAGGGCCATCATGGCCCTCTTGTATTCAATAACTTTTTGAAGTTCACATCAGTGACTCACTGTATGCTACTTTTGAAAAGGAACATTTAAATCGAAGTAGAAGGTGTCGTACAATAACAGTCAAAGCAGATGGCGAATCCATGTTTTGCATGTGGCTACAATCTACAAGTTCATGCTGCAAATAGTGCATACTGAGTGAGTTGGCACTAAAGCTAAGTAGGATATTGCTTTGGTGATTACCAAGTTGAAAGTGTTTAAAAGCTCTAACTGATAAGCAGTGGGTTTAACCTGACTAACCTTCAGCAGCCATGCAAATCCACCTGTCAAAATCATCCCAGTCAACCAAAGTGTTAACAACCCATGGATGTAATGCTTCAACTGCTTGCTTGCCAAGTTGATTTAAACGTTTTTGAACACCATCATACACTACTTCACTGTAGTTCTTTACTATGACGGGAATGTCAGCAGGCTCTACAGATTTTCTAAGTTCATTGCCGTAGGTTTCATTACAAGCCAAGTATGATTTCAATGTAGCTGGCGACAAATACCGATGAAACTGTATAGGCACGACTGTACATAACGGCCCAATTGCCATGATTCTGAAAATATAAGTAAATTTATCTGCAACAGTAATTTAATGAGGATATTAGAGGAAATATGTATTAAAATATATTTTAGGCCTCGCAGGTCAACGGCTGGTAAGTGTGACAGACCAGCATGTTAACACAAGCAAAGGTGTCAGTGCTTTTGACCCTGACCATCGAAAAATAACACTATTTTTAACCGACTGTTTCCTAGATAATACGCTATTACAAAAAGCATCGCTTTAATTATCTGGCATTTTCAGTGTCTGTAGTTATTTCACACCACCTAAAAATTAATTAACTGATTAATTGTAGGGGTGTAAGGATTCATCCATGCATCGCAATCCACTATTCAACTAATGTATGCATCACAAACAAAATGCCAATGGCCATACAAGGTGATGCAATATGTTTTTTTTTACCTTGCAATGCACCTTCATTATATGTGCACTATTGTTTATACAGAAAAGCACTTCAGGAAATGGAAATGTCAAACATATACTAATTGTGACTTGTCAGATTAAATAATGCGATGAATATTCCCATTATGATATCGTTGTCATCTTTCATTGCAATTTAGGCTGCGTGTGAGGTAGTAAGACCCTAGTTGACATACAACTTGTCATTTAAAAAAAATTGTCATTAAATGGTTATTAATAATTTATTACTCTTTTTCTAACACTGACATATATAGGTTAGGAATTGACTTCCAAGGATGACAGTAATTGTGATACGTATTGCATTGCCACTTAAATATTACAGTACATATCACAAAGTATTTTAGGGGTGTCTGTGGCCGGGTGGTTACCTTCACCTTTAAGCTTAATTCAATCACCATCTTTAATACCTTACATCAAAATATAATTTCTAAATAATAGCCTTAACTTACACATTTTGGGACTTCAATCTTTAGAAAATAATAATTCAACAGTTCAACGTAATTTATTACAAGACTGAGAGTGAGAAGTAAATTATTAAAGAATACTTAATTTCATCACATAAATAGCTACTTTTTAAATATTAAAACTAAAATATAGAAGAGAATATTTTGTGATATATGTTAAGTAGATCTCTACTTTGACTTTTTAATGCTGGGTACGTTGTGACTCGAGTACGTTTCGTCTATACTTCTAGATTATAAATGCAACATCACAAGTTATACTTATAAAGCATTATAAGCTGTGTCATACAACTTTGCAACTAATAAGTAACATTACTGTTCCGCTTAAAATGTTTAAAAAATTATGCTCATTTGTCAATTACCGATTTGAATTTTGGTCCAACATTCCTTCATGTTTGGCTGCCGCCATTTTTCCAGGAAAGTGCATGTATGTTCGGACAACCTTAACCGATCAAACTGCACCTGGAGGCAGTTTGGTCAGTTTGCTAAACCGGTTCTTGTTTCCGCTTCTAAAAACAACTAAAAAATCAGTTTTAGTTTAAGTGAAAAACTGAAAAACAAATGTAGGGTTTACAAAACGGGTTTGAAACCAAACTAAGTTTATCGGCAACAAATGCGCCCATTGTTGTACATGTATCCGAAAGCTATAAATAGAATGATGAGTTGATGACCTAAACATTCCGAAAATCTATTTATAGAGGGGTGTACTCCTATCGGAACATCCCGGTCTCTCCCGGTCTATTTTGACCGGGATTTACTAGTGACCGGCGAATAGTATCACACGTTTATTGTCCGGTCTCTCCCGGATTTGGAGTAGATGTTTGATATCGTTACAGAACAGAACAAATATTTTCCAAAACGAATGTTTGTCACTTAGTTTGGTTACAATAATTAATAAACACAGATAAACTCTAAAATTTATTGATTATTATTATACATAAACGTAATTCGAAAAAACAACAACAACAATAGCATGTTTCATTTTATCTATATGAGATAAAAACAATAAATATGTACAATCATTGAGAAAAAAGGTACATTTTTATGGTATTAATATGACACTATCAACTTTGAAACATTTTATTTAATTTGTTATTCGTGTTTAGTAAAGATGCCGAGGAATTTTCAAAGTTACAAATTAGATTATATGAATTATTCAATTGATTGATAATTTAAAAAATAATGAAGAAAAATACAAATGTACATGTACATTGTTTAAGAATAAGCAATATTATATCTTGAAAGATTAACCATAATTTACTGACTTTTTCCAGTTAAGTTCTGACTTATAATCATCGGTCAATATGACAATTGAATTCTTAAAATGTATTTTACAATTTAATAAAAAAAAGGGTAGAAAACGTAAAATCTAATATAATGATTATAAACGAAGCAGTAACGAATTATCGTTAAGTCGTTATACCCCTCAACTCCTAAGGTATACCGGCTTCTAATGTATCGGAATTGACGAGCTACCTAGTTAACTACTAACATGGCATCATGCGTGACATTGAAATTGAGAGCAGAATATCACCAAAGGGGTAAGCCAAAGGTGCCATTCCGTTTCGACGGTTGATAATATCAATGTTGCACATGCTTCCTTAATACATTTATTTTATTATAACAAACAAAATTAAGCACATAAATGTTTTAAAATGTTCCTGATAGTCAAAATGTCACTTTTTAGCTCACCTGTCACAAAGTGACAGGGTGAGCTTTTGTGATCGCTTTTCGTCCGGCGTCCGGCCGTCCGTCCGTCCGTAAACTTTTACTTTAAATGACATCTCCTCATAAACCACTAAGCCAATTTCATCCAAACTTCACAGGAATGTTCCTTTGGTGGTCACCTTTAAAAATTGTTCAAAGAATTTAATTCCATGCAGAACTCTGGTTGCCATGGCAACCGAAAGAAAAAACTTTAAATATCTTCTTTTAAAAAACCCTAAGAGCTAGAGCTTAGATATTTGGCATGAAAAAACTTCTAATGAGTGTCTACTAAGTTTGTTCAAATAAAAGCCCTGGGGTCAAAATTGGCCCCGCCCCAGGGGGTCTTTGATTTTCCCTATATGCATATAGTAAAAACTTAAAATATCTTCTTTTAAAGAACCCAAAGAGCTAGGGCTAAGATATTTAGCATGAAACATCTTCTAATGAGTGTCTACCAAGTTTGTTCAAATAAAAGCCCTGGGGTAAAAATTGGCCCCGCCCCAGGGGGTCATTGATTTTCCCTATATGCATATAGTAAAAACTTAAAAAGTCTTCTTTTAAAGAACTCAAAGAGCTTGAGCTAAGATCTTTAGCATGAAACATCTTCTAGTGAGTGTCTACCAAGTTTGTTCAAATAAAAGCCCTTGGGTCAAAATTGGCCCCGCCCCAGGGGGTCTTTGATTTTCCCTATATGCATATAGTAAAAACTTAAAATATCTTCTTTTAAAGAACCCAAAGAGCTAGGGCTAAGATATTTAGCATGAAATTTCTCTTAATGAGTGTCTACCAAGTTTTGTTCAAATGAAAAGCCCTGGGGTCAAAATTGGCCCGCCCAGGGGGTCATTGATTTTCTCTATATGCATATAGTAAAACTTAAAAAATCTTCTTTTAAAGAATTCAAAGAGCTAGAGCTAAGATATTTAGCATGAAACATCTTCTAATTGGTGTCTACAAAGTTTGTTCAAATAAAAGCCCTGGGGTCAAAATTGGCCCCGCCCCAGGGGGTCATTGATTTTCTCTATATGCATATAGTAAAAACTTAAAAAATCTTCTTTTAAAGAATTCAAAGAGCTAGAGCTAAGATATTTAGCATGAAACATCTTCTAATTGGTGTCTACAAAGTTTGTTCAAATAAAAGCCCTGGGGTCAAAATTGGCCCGGCCCGGGGGTCCTTGATTTTCCTTATATGTGTATAGCAAAAAGTTAAAAAATCTTCTTTGAAAAAACCCAAATAGCTGGAGTTTAGATATTAAGCATGAAACATCTTCTAGTGAGTGTCTACAAAGTTTGTTCAAATAAAAGCCCTGGAGTCAAAATTGGCCCCGCCCCGGGTGTTATTGATTTTCCTTATATTTGTACAGCAAAAACTTAAAAATCTTCTTTGTAAAAACCCAAATAGCTAGAGTTTAGATATTAAGCATGAAACATCTTCTAGTAATTGTCTACAATGTTTGTTCAAATAAAAGCCCTTGGGTCAAATTGGCCCCGCCCCAGGGGTGTCATTGGTTTAAACTATATTTGTATAGAAAAAAACTTAAAAATCTTCTTTAAAAAAAACCCCAATGAGCTAGAGCTTAGATGTTTAGCATGAAACATCTTCTTATGGGTGTCTACCAAGTTTGTTCAAATAAAAGCCCTGGGGTTAAAATTGGCCCTGCCAGAGGGGGGGGTATGGAAGGAGGGGGTAGATTGTTGTTTTTCATTATATGTGTGTAGTAAAAACTTAACATCGTGAAATATCTTCTAATGGGTGTCTTCCAAGTTTGTTCAAATAAAAGCCCTGGGGTTTAAACTGGCCCCGCTCCGGGTGCCTTTATACAGGTGAGCGACCTCAGGGCCATCATGGCCCTCTTGTTTATGGGGGGATGGGATTTTATTATTGTTGACATGGGTTCGAATATGGGTCACCTGTGGTCAAACATTAGGTCACATTCAGCCCAAATAAAATGGTATTGAGCTTGCATAATCAGGTGAGCGATATTTTAAAGGGCCATCATAGCCATGTACAATCATATCCATTATAATATAGCCACAGTCATTGTCTATTACCTTTCACAATAATTGTTGCATATACTTTAAATATGGTGATTTAATTTTTCATACAGAAGTATGGCCATCCAAAATGCCACCTGATATATTGCAATTGACTGACAAGATGACAATGATATAATTTGACATAAAGCTTGAATATACAAAATAAAGAAGTTGTTATACCCCCACAAACGAAGTTTAGGGGGGGGTATATAGGAGTCAGCTTGTCGGTCGGTCGGTCGGTCCGTCGGTCGGTCCACATCATGGTTTCCAGACGATAACTAGAGTTTGGAGTGAGGTATTGTAATCAAACTTGGTATATAGCAACCTTATGTGGAAACCCCGGTTGGTATTGCATCTGGACCCCCTGGGGCCAAGGTCAAGGTCACCGTTACTAAAAATAGAAAAATGGTTTCCGGACAATAACTAAAGTTAGGAATGAGATATTGTAATCAAACTTGATGTACAGCAAGCTTATATGAAGACCCCGGTTGGTATTGCATCTGGACCCCCTGGGGCCAAGGTCAAGGTCACCGTTACTAAAAATAGAAAAATGGTTTCCGGACAAGAACTAAAGTTAGGAATGAGATATTGTAATCAAACTTGGTATATAGCAAGCTTATATGAAGACCCCTGTTGGTATTGCATCTGGACCCCCTGGGGCCAAGGTCAAGGTCACCGTTACTAAAAATAGAAAAATGGTTTCCGGACTATAACTAAAGTTAGGAATGAGATATTGTAATCAAACTTGGTATATAGCATTAGCTTATATGAAGACCCCTGTTGGTATTGCATCTGGACCCCCTGGGGCCAAGGTCAAGGTCACCGTTACTAAAAATAGAAAAATGGTTTCCGGACAATAACTAAAGTTAGGAATGAGATATTGTAATCAAACTTGGTATATAGCAAGCTTATATGAAGACCCCTGTTGGTATTGCATCTGGACCCCCTGGGGCCAAGGTCAAGATCACCGTTACTAAAAATAGAAAAATGGTTTCCGGACAATAACTAAAGTTAGGAATGAGATATTGTAATCAAACTTGGTATATAGCAAGCTTATATGAAGACCCCTGTTGGTATTGCATCTGGACCCCCTGGGGCCAAGGTCACCGTTACTAAAAATAGAAAAATGGTTTCCGGACTATAACTAAAGTTAGGAATGAGATATTGTAATCAAACTTGGTATATAGTATTAGCTTATATGAAGACCCCTGTTGGTATTGCATCTGGACCCCCTGGGGCCAAGGTCAAGGTCACCGTTACTTAAAATAGAAAAATGGTTTCCGGACAATAACTAAAGTTAGGAATGAGGTATTGTAATCAAACTTGGTATATAGCAAGCTTATATGAAGACATAGGTTGGTATTGCATCTGGACCCCCCTTGGGCCAAGGTCAAGGTCACCATTACTAAAAATAGAAAAATGGTTTCCGGACAATAACTAAAGTTAGGAATCATATATTGTAATCAAACTTGGTGTTTAGCAAGCTTACATGAAGACCGCACTTGGTATTGCATTTGGACTCCCTGGGTTCAAGGTCACAGTTACTAAAAGTTGAAAAATGGTTTCCAGACAATTACTAGGGTTAGGAATGAGATATTGTTATCAAACTTGGTGTATAGCATGCTTATATCAAGATTAAGATAGTTGGGATTGCAATAAATTGAAATAATTCTTTGTACACATTGCTGATGGTACTTTATTTACTGTAGGTTTATTTCAAATTTTTCATCAGACAACTTATTGTTCAAGAGCCAAAGTTGCTGTTGGGGGTATTAATCACCTTCAGTGATAGGTCTAGTTTGAAACTTTTAAAACATGGTTAAACCAATATAATATTATGTGAACAAAATTTAACATACCTTTATGTCAGTATTGAAATTTGAACGTGACTTAGTATTTCCATTAATCTTCCTAGGGCACAATTTCATTATTTGCACTGTGCTGTCACATTTCCAGATGCCTCTTTAGGAAATTCAAGGATATCATTAGTCCAATGATTCTGATTGACATTCTGGTTAGAAGACTAACCAAAAATGATATGTGACGTTCTTTCAGTTAAAATGTGGTTAACTGTATGAATTAAAAATTATTTCTTCATCAAAACATCTCACTTGTTAAAAAGTTTTACTACAATAAGGTTGGATACCTTTATTGACTATCATTGTTTGTTATGACAATGCCTATTACTTACTTCAAATAGGGATATCAATAGGAAACTTTCATTTCATTCAATAAAAACGTTGCTATTGTGAATCAAAATCAATCAATTAACATTCCACAATTTGTGAAGACCATTTCAAAGGCTTACAAAATGTTATAGCTAAGTTTCAAATATTGTCAGCTTTTTAGAAAACCGCTTATCGCAAGTGATGTTTAATATGAAAAATCAAAAAGTATTAGTTAACCGGTAACATGTGTAATAAAGGCATCATTAAATAGTTTCATGTTAAATCTTATAGTAATCAACATCACCCAAACTGTAGTCATAATTACAGACGGAATTTATTACAATTAATGTTATCAATTTTGGGCAAGGTAATCAATTACATGATGATTACAGTGTAATCCTGCAATCAATTAAAAATGATTGCGATTAACGATTATCACAGGTCTGTACATAGAACAACCACACAGCATTTTAACATTTTGATAAGATCAATTTTATTTAACGAAAACATGATTTTGATTAAATTGAAATTATCACATACAATGTGTATGCATGAAGGTGATTTACTTATGCAGTCTTTCATCACTTACTTGATCATCACTTACTCAAGTCAGAATTACTTCAACAATTGCATACAATAAGCATAATACTTATTCTAAAATACTCGATTTCTTTTATAGTCAGTTTTCACAATAGCATTTTTACATGTGCTTATTATAGTTAATGAGAAATACTTGTCAAATGTGTTTTGTTTTTGATAGAATTGACACAGTTTCCTTTTCTTTTGCAGTCTGTGCGAAATTAAATGATGAGTGGACATTTGGCAACTGTTTTGAAAGGAAGAATAATGTCAGATGATCTATGTACAGAAGTGCCTCCTTGTGTGTCGTAACAGTTTCACTTCTTTTTCTTCATCACTTTCAGCATCCGCATCAGTTTCTTCATTTTGTTGTTTTTCATGCATATTTTGATTAATTTATCTTCCAAGTCTGACTCAAGTTCTTCATGAACAGGAAATTCAATGTCAATGTTCAGAAAGTCTTGGACAGCCATGTCTTATTGTTCACAAATCATTCCTCTTTCTAGGGGCCCTCGTAAGATCAGCAAATTCAATTAATGGGCGATTGCATGAAAGATACCTATGTAGCTCTTACTCTTATCAAGTCAAATTTTGAATGGGTTGTTCTGACACATCATCAGAACACTCATCCATATCTGTAAACTTTTAAGGTTACCTGCGT